TCACATATCTTGAAATACATGTCCATTTGTTTTATGATCAGATTCAAGATGGCTGAATGGCGGACATTTTAATGTCAACAATTCAACAAAATCAAGCATTTCTGCCATTCCAGAACAAGAACATGGTTGTGTACATTAGATATTATTGGACTTTGATTCACATCTTTTTATTTTTCCGGTAGCATTTTACAAGGCGAACTCATGAAAATCGTGTGTGCTTTTTTCAAATCATATTCAAAATGGCCGAATACAAAGGCAAAGCCATGTCACTGGCATGCGTTGACTAACCGCAATCAATCTTTACAACTTCATTATACATCATTTCATTTGTTTCATGTTTTCATTAAACCATGGATGTACATCCATGATTAAACCAATGGAGACCTTGTCATGAGATGATATGTACTCTTTAATACCATCATCAGCACACCAAATCACGCAAAGCAAGATACAGAACTCATTATAACCCCCCCCCCCACTGGCACCACAATGCTATGTATACTGCTAATAATATTTGATGCGTGTAAACCGGACATCCCTACAGTAAATGATGAATTACATATCATCAAGCAACTTGCTTTTATCAAGAGACTTATCTAACAACTTATTTATTTGTAGTTACCCAGCATGCTTTCTCCGTGGTCTTCGTTGCATGTACATGTATTGTATATATGTAGTGACTTGTAAGCAGCGGGAAACTTCTAAACATGACACTTAAATAAATATTTCAACAACACGACTGCACTGTCAGAAAATCATATACTCCAGTGTGTGCTATTGAAGTTAATGATTGCCACATTTTGGAGAATGCTTACAGAAGATATGATTCGCTGCACAAATTATAATAAAAACAAAAGAAATCATAAGAGTTCTCATAAATTATTATATAATACTAGTACCTAATTAGTGCCACATATTGTGCGGTAAGTACAAATCAACCATTCAGCTGCCAAAATATGTGTTGGGAGGCTGTTTTAATAAGTATACTACAACTTGTGTGGTAAAGATGGCTGGTCTGATGACGTACTAGGACAAATCAACACCATATTGTGGCACCACTAAGTTGTCTATTTATAGACTATACACTGATTTCCTACACGTGACGTACTTTACTTAACACGTACACATAGTTTAGTGACTGCATGCATACTAGACAGATCTAGTTTTCTAATTATTGCCGATCAGACTGGAAAATTCAAGAAAGACTAGTATTCAGTGGACGTGAGCACTGTAAATATCCAAACAATTAAAATATGTTTTCACTATGTTCGCATAGCTAGACCATCCGTCATAAAGTTCAATATGCAATATAGATGAGAACATGCATATATTTTAAAAACTGCTGTTTGGTATTGTGCACCACAATATGTTCTTGTAGTACACATGCGTTTGACGTCTACTGTGGAAATTGATCTTACTCAAACTGTTTCAATCGCGTGACGATATCCAGACGCGCATAAAAAAATCGGAACAATATCTGCAATATGGCGGAGCTTAATGGCAGTCGCGATATTATTCATTTCTCCGCCTGATTTCTTACCAAACAAACGTGTGCTGCAAAAGTGTTAGTTTCCGATGACTCATAATCCTATTTACTCATCACGTAGTATAGAACAATGTGTGTTTCATTCATATTGCATCATTGGCAGTGTGTTTTCTTTTATACTGTTCTTCCTTCCCCTACAATAAAAGGTTGTGTTGACATATTATAAAAAAAAAAAAAAAAAAATGTTTTCCAACACAGAAGTTGCATTTTGTTCAATAACATAACAGTATTGTTTGTTTCCTTAAAAGTAAAACAAACAACAATTGTGACTTGCATAGTGTTTATCAACAATTTTAAATTGTACAACTTTATTTTGGGCTACAGTGATGTCATATACTAGTACATAGTAACTGGGCCACGTACCTGAATGATCGTGTTCACTGCGTACCAATAGCAATAACATAGACGCCGGTAGTCATTAATACAAAATCATGCGATCGATAAGCGTTTTCTCATTTTTGATTTTATTCAACGATTTTTCTCAAATTAGACGACAACCCCTCCAGACACAAAATAATAACTGGCACATATATCATATATTTATAATTCAGTACGTCTAAATACATAACAATAATATATAGACTTATATGAGCTATACAGCTCAGGCTTCTGAAATACCGCAAATATTGCCACCGTGGAACACCCAATAGTAATATGATTGCCTGTCCCACCACGGTGTTTCCGGTAGTGAAATTACGGTTACAGAAAGAGCATAATGGTATAAAAACCACCAGTTTAATTCTCATTCTATTGGCCGAAATGTTTGTCATATAAAAAAAATACTGATTTTATTGAAGTGGGTAATCTTTGTCTAAATTCTCGCAACGCATTGGAAACTTAAATACATTCATATTTTCAATAGTGATTGAATCGTATACATTTAGGCTTTAAATAACTTTTATATGTTTTTTTTTTTTAAATGGTTTGTAAGAAACAGACTTTCTCAAGAATATCTCCAATTTATTTATTAAAGTATCGCAAAAGGAAAAAAAAAACGTTTCCGGTCAAACTAATTTAAGGTCTCGTAAAAAAATTGCTTCTGGTCAAACTTTAAAAAAATTGAAACGATGAGGCGAAAATATTTACGGTACAAACGTTGCATGTTTCATCATTTCGTCAACAGAGGGCGCTGTGAAGTGGCGAAATATCAAAAGCAGATGAAGAAAAAGGTCGGCCCCAGGATCGGCCCGTACTGTTTTTGGTAGTGCGCACGCTGACCAGAAACATACTTTTTTGTTTTGTGTTTTTAGGCCTAAAAATAAGACATTTGTTTTAAACCGCATTTTATCTTTTTCTCACGCATGTGAATATAACCCCCCCCCCCCGTGTTTGGTTTCTTTCAATTGAAATTGCAATGAAAATATATATGGTCGAATCTATAAAACAGGCTTTGTCTCGATTGTTAAATGTACTAAAATATTAGTGTTTAAAAAATAATAGCCTTGAAAATGACGTCAAAAAAATAATAATGACGGGGGCTACTGGTATATCCGTTTATACATAAGTGTACCAAGGTTGGGGTAAGCCACCTAAGCCCGACAAATTAAACAACCGGCAATACCGCAATTGATTGAAAAATATAGAGAAAACCACGCTCTGTTTATTGCGTTTCTACTTATTAGTGTCAATTCTCCAAACCTTTTAATTATTGGCAGCAGTCGACTTATAAATGGGGAACGAGACAGTGCAATAGAATAAGAATTATTTTCATAAACCTGGGGTGCCTTTCAGAGTCTCGGATGAGGTGATTGACTTGGTACGACGATTTCTATTTTCATTAAAAAGCTACACTTTCATTGGTACCCCTGGTGTTTGGTTTCTTTCAATTGAAATTGCAGTGAAAATATATTTGATCGAATCTATAAAACAGGCTTTGTCTCGATTGTCAAATGTACTAAAATGTTAGTGTTTAAAAAATAATAGCCTTGAAACTAATGTCAGAAAAAATAGTAATGATGGGGGCTACTAGTATATCCGCTTGTGTGCGATACGTGTACCAAAGGTTGGGGTAAGCCACCTAAGCCCGCCAAATTAAACAACCGGCATTACCACACAATGACGCAATTGATTGAAAAATATATCGGAAACCACACTCTGTTTATTACGTTTCTATTTATTAGTGACAATCCCCCAAACCTTTTAAATGTTGGCGGCACTCGACTAATTAATGGAGAACGAGACAGTGCAATTTTCATAAAGCTGGGGTGCCTTTTTCAGAATCTCGGATGAGGTGATTGACTTGGTACGACAGTCTTGTCATTGAACTGCAACTGTAGGTAGCGGTTGTACGATAGCGAGTGTCTATAGATAAACTCTTGATCTGTTTCCACCGTTATCTCAATATATATAGTTCGAATATGCCTGGAATGGAAAAACTACTGCGGGGAGTGCTTCGGTATCGGAACGGGGTCAGACAAGAATTGTCCCGCAATTCGAACGAGTCAGAGACAATCCAGAGGTGAGTTACAAGCTGCCGTCACGTATGCAATCACAATCGAGTATGGCTACGGCACAAAACTGTTAAAACTATTGAAATGAATAAGGGATACAAAAGTACCCAGTATAGTGTGGACCCACGGTATGAGAAAGTGGATCGTGCCGACGTGAAAAATTTGACGTGAATATCGAGTCGCATGGACAACGAATATTTATATATAAAAACCTGGCGGAAGTGCAATAGACGGAGCATGGGGGTAAAAAATCTTTTTACCTCCATGGACGGAGATAAAAAAAAAAAGATAATAAAAAGCAGCAAAACAGTTTTCCTGTTGTGGTGTTTGTCGTTATGAATTGTTGCCTATTTGTAATAGTTACTAGTATACTGGAGCACTTTTGTAGATTCCTAGTTCGTCGCGAAATCTGCACCTAGTTGATGATCAGGAGGTGGTCTGAGATTGACGGAGGATAGATTTTTTATACAAAGTTCAAGATTTTGATCAGTGTTGTATAGAATTACACATTGCGTGACATGAGCTATTATAACTCTGGAAATTTAAACATTACCCTGGCTCAGGTCTGTTGCACATGTGGTCAACAGGAAGAATACCAGTATGGCATAAAGTTTGCCACTGATTAATATTTATGACATTTCATTGTTTCCTTGTTATTTTGCAATTTAAAATAAATATACAAAAATTAACAGTAAAATTGTAAAAAAAGAGAATAAAATATTAAAATGAAATAAAAAGAAGAAAGGAAATAATTTAAATCCAACAAAGAAAACAAATATTTCAAAAACACTTTAAGGTAAATTTATTTTCAATTAAAAGGGGAAAAAAAAGTAAATGCAAATAAAAACAAAATTCATTCAACTTTGTCCAAGAGCTTCCATAGCCTACATAACGAGAATACAGCAAGTATGAACGATCAAATCTACACATGGCAGAGGTTGATGCAATCCCGTACTGCCAGTGTGTGTACTTTGCATTATTCTCATGATAACCTTATGCTTGTAATAATAATTTAATACAGCTCGAAATTGCAATGAAATCTGTTTTGTGCTATGCAAACATTTGTGTTCAATGATGGGATATATTTTCGTCACATGCTGTACGAGTGCTTCTGCGTCTGATGTGAACAAAAAGTGTTTGAATGTTACGTAAACATAACTCGCATTTTCCAAATAAGGAAAACAATTGAACGTGTTCAATGGCGCATTCATGCAGTCAAATAAATTCTATTGTTTTCAGTGTTGAATATATAATAAATTGTATTTTTTTGCATCACGAAAGTGTAAAGCAAATAGAAATACATATGTTAACAATGTGTTTTGAACATTACTGCATACAAGTATGAACAAGAACAATGGCTGATAAAGTGAAGCTGTCCATGTTCCAATTCGCACGGCTGAGTATGTGATTAGCTGCTGGCACAAACTGTTTCCAGTTTCATTGCTGAGACATGATGATACTTCCAGTCTTCAGTTATCAAAGGTTATAAATGGTAGTTTGATATTTGGCATATTACTCTCTCTGGGTAAAATTAAGCTCTGTTATTATCTCCTGCCAAATATTCTAATTCTCATAAAATGCACAATATATTACCATTTTTGACAATAATAATTTATAATAGTATATTTTTGATTAGTTAATCATACACCCGCAATCGCTGTGAACAGTGCTCACAGTCGAATGTAGATATTTATGGCAGTTTATTCAGTTTCAGGGCAGGATCGCAGATCTTCTTCAGATACAAGACCTTGATTTAGCCAATCAGATTGTGGTGCGACGACCATTGCCCTTCAATAAAAAGTGCGCATTTGTCATGTTTTTATTAACCTTTTCACCACCAGTTCCCTCTTTTCACCACCAGTTCCCTCTTTTCACCACAAATTCACAAAATAGTCCTGTATATAATCTGCAATTTCCTTCAGAAAATTGGAATAAACATAGCCAAATATTTTTAGAAAATTGACTCAAATTTTGTCTGTTGGCTCCAAAATTAGGATTCACTTCCAGGATTATCGAAGAATATAAGAAAAAAGTGCAGAGAAATTTGGGCGAGGAAGTCTTTTGATGAAAAGGTTAGCAGTGAGTGGACAGCTCCTGCTCACTTTATAGTTCTGGCTTGTATGGTGTACATCATGCTATTGAACAGTAGTATGTGCAACTCGGCTCATTGTTCTATTATTATCAAGTTTTGAGTATGTGCATGATGACCGAATGCAGGATTAAATAGGTGATTTTCCGTTCAACTGCGAGATCTCGCATATGCATGAGAAACGCGCGTCGAACGTCTACCGCAAAAATCGAATGATTTGATTTTGAACTGGAATTTCATTATTTCATAGATCATATCGACCGGCCGATCTTCGACAGAGGAATATTGCTTTTGAATACCCTCACTTAATCGAAATTGTCTATCATCAAATGTGTACAGCACATTATTAAGCATGGAAATGCCCCCAAAATATTTTCGTGTTTGTTGAATCCCACGCGTTGTTTGACTACGACGCTATGACCTTTGTTCGTCCTGTTTTTATGTTCGATTTCACATAACGCAGGATTCTCGCAGTGTACAGAAAATGGTCTGTTGCTTTGTTTCACACTCCGAAAGGCCAAGGATGTGAGAAATTCTTGATTCATTTTCAAGTATTGATCCAATACGTTCATTTCAATGGTGTGGGGGTCTATAGCATTAACAGTCATTATATTATATTAACATTCTAATAATGTCTTAGTGGTTTTCAAGTATGCAATGCGATGTATCCATGCTTCGATCCTTGTGAAAGTATGATGACACTGCAGGATACGGCACTTCGTATTACTCGTGTAAATAACTTCCATACTCACAAATGTTAAGATTGATGCCATGGCGTTCTGTTGTAGCTTCTTTGACTATATATATGTAACGTCGGGCATTATGTCTGCCCAGTGATAAATGAAAGTTCATTGAATTGAATGGAATAGTATTGTACATTTTTTCATTGGCATTAGGTTTAAATTGTATGGAGCTTTTATTTGATAGACATTCTAACCCTTGATCAACCTTGGTCATTGACCTGGAGGAACAGAAGGTATTTCACTCAAACTTTACTTTTGTGATTGTATTTCAATCCACACGCAGCCATTCCATCATGCTAATAACAAACTAAATCTTTCTTTTGTGCAGTTTTGAATATTCAATATGTTTGTACAGAAATGTATTTTAAGTGTATAGCATTAATGAGTTTTTAAAACATAACAATATTGCATTAACCTGATAAGAATTTCATTAGTGTTATTTGTATTTAATTAGTTCTATAGACTTTTCTGGAACTTGTGAATTCCTCAAAATTCTTTCTTTTTTTTCTCTCATTGTCATTGTTTCACTGTTTATTTGGTATTTGAGCTTAATCATCAGGTTTAATTATTTAACATGTTCATATGGAAATTTAGTGGAAATATAGCAAGAATAGCAAAATTAAAACCCAGTGAATAATTAATGCATTTAAAGTCTATGCACTAAGGACCCTCCCTGCTTTATGACATCATAGTTTGTGAAATTTGCATAAAATTAAATTGGTAATGAGATATTACTAGCATAGTTCTTAAGCATTAATGGTGAACAGATTGTACATATAACCCTTTAGGCTAAGAAAGACTTTAATGCTGAGCAGTGTGGCAGGCTTTCTCTAGTAAATCATAACGTAGAAAGGTTGCCAAGCATCTTTTGTGACATTTCCTTTTGTTTAAAGGTTGGATGTATACCTTAAGTGTATTTTACTTGTAATACCCAGTAATTGTAACATGTTTGACATCTGACGTTCAGGATTGTTATACATGTACAAGTTCAAATAACTATAGTTTATTCTTTATTCTAGCTGAAAATTTGTTTG